CACCTATGAGGGGAATTCGGCTGCTAGAGCGAGGCTCGCCTGAAGCGTTAGGTTTACCTAAAACGCCAAGTCTAGTTTTGGTGACTCAGCCAATTGAGTGAAGCCCGCCTGAATGGATGGGCTCGCCTGCTCGACCTAGTCCACCAAAACTGGGAACTTTATGCTCCTACTTGGCACTTCTCAGGCCTGAATGGTAATTTAGGCTATCATAGGGAGTGGGGGCTCGGGCTTTCTGACAGGCGAGGGCTTGTCGTTGTTAGACCCTAAGGCCGCTAGGAAAGAACCCTAGAGGGGGGTGAATAGGGTTTATGCTAATCTGATCCAATTTTATGCCAATTAAAACTAATTAACAAATATATCCTAGTAAGTATGATATGCTAGAAGATATGTGCATGGATATATAATATAAACAAGGGTAAACAAAATTAACATGCAACAATGGCGATATAACAATATGCAAGAATAAATGCGCCAATGCCAAACTCAAACACAAGGAAATGATCACGGAGTTCGGACCTTCCATCCTACGTCTCCACTCCCTACTCCCGGGGAGAATCCACTACACAACCCAGTTTGAAAGCCGGAACTTCTCTACACACTCGGTTTTCTAGCTAACCGAAAACTCTACACACTCGGTTATCAAGTCAACTGACAACTCTCACAAATCCTCATAATGTACATACACAAGCTACAACCTCAAGTATTGGTCCTCACATATCGACTCCCTCAAGTGCTCGGAATTATCACCTCTCACTAGGCCACCGACGCCACTCCTATCGGTATCAACTCCGTCCTCACCACACACTCCTCTTGGTGTACAAGTGTATTACAAAGTGAACTTCACAAATTAAGCACAACAAATGATTGTTCTCTAAACAATGTGAGAACTCAATTAGGCACAACTCTAAGTCACAAACCCCATAACCCAAAATATACTATGAATGTAAATACTATAAGCTCAATAGGTTGTGTGTGAACAAAGAGATTCAATAAAAACAATTTAACTAAACTCAATATAAATCTAGCTTATGAAAATTAGAAACAAAACAATAATAGCTAGAATAAGTTTAGAAAAACTTCTCTATAGATCAAGAGAGAGAGAGAGAGAGATGAGTTGAAGCTAAAACACCAAAGGATGATCTCTTCTTCCTCTTGTGAAATTATCTTCACAAAACCGAAACTTTGAAACAAGGCTTTAAACACCTTTAAACAAACTTAAACAAGCTTTAAACCCTTGTTAAACTTTTTTAAACATTATCTTGGTTAAACTAAAAAATGAGAGCAAAGGGTGTTTATATAGCCACCCAAAACCTCAGCCAAAAACCCCAAAGGAAAAGACCAAAAAGCCCAAGAATCAGAAATCTGATTCTGTACAAATATAGTCGTTACAGTGTTATGGGTCGACTTGTCACTGTTCATGAGTCGACTCATAACTAGCTGTTACAGGCTAAAAACAACTTATGGGTCGACTCATAAAATCCATGAGTCGACTCATCATGCATGGGTCGACTCATGAAGTCATGGGTCGACTCAGCAGAAACAAAACATACTTTCCAGCACAGTTTGTGAGTCGACTTAGGACAGGCATGAGTCGACTCAACCTGTCTGGGTTGACTCATGATGTTTATGAGTCGACTCATCAAAAACAAAATGTAAACTACACAACAGTTTATGAGTCGACTCAACACTATTCATGAGTCGACTCAAGACATGCACACAGTCTGTTTTAAACAGAAATCTGATTTTCAAACCTCTTTTAAAAATAGCAAATAAATCAGAAAAATATAAAACTTTGGGAAATGATTGTAGACATGATAATAAACATTCTACAAAAATTGGTTTTCAAAAAGGAATTCCCAAATGTAAAATATCATCATTTTGTAAGGAGGTCCAAAACATAGAAATGTAAACATATGAATTTTGACATTTTGCCTAAACCATATTTTGAAATTTTACAAAATGATTTTATAGACTTGAAGAAAGATGTAAACTATTGTTATGAAGTCTATAAATAATGAATATAATATTTTTACAAATACAATAGAATATGAAACATATGAGTATGTATATGAATATATATTTGTTTCATATCTATAAAATTAAACCGAAACAACTTATCCACATAGAAAACAAACATGTATACATAATTTTAGGAATTTATTTGTAAAAACTTTGTTTGTGGATAAAACTAAAAACCAAGATGTGTATGTATATATAACTATATATATATATATATACATAGAAACCAATAAAATGTGTGTGTATATATGATTGAGCTTAAAGTACTTAACACACATAATATAAAACCTAAACTAAATGTTACCCAAGCTTGATCTTGATCTTCATTATAGCTCAACTTGGTAGACTTGGATGAAGTTTATAATTGGATCTTTAACTTGATAGCAAGGCTTCACTCTACTATTCCGCCAACCTCCATTGGATATGATCATGAAAGCTTGATTCCATCCATCCTCCAACATATTATTTGTCTACAACAACTACAAAACTACAAACACTAGATAAACAATATTAGTTGTAAATTGTTTATAAATCATCATCAAAACAAGAAGGCCAACAGTCGTCACCGCCGTTAGGCTCTTTTGGAGAGGGAGAGACTCATGTCGACGACGAAGGCAAGATTGCCGTTGCACACTAAGCTCTCCTCTTGCATGGGGGACTGTACGGATCGCTTGATGACCCAACGGGCAGTCCCTTGGCTTGCATGCTTATCTTTGATTAGCTTGGGGGAGATAGAATCCCCTACTTTAGCTCGGGTAGAGCTCTCAGGTGTGGTTGCCTCGACCGCTTGGGGTCGGGCCACACACGCGACTCTGTGGCACTTGCGTGATGCATGGCTACCAGAGGAGGAAGAAGACAAGTATTCTTCATACTTGACTTGGTTGAACTCGATCATAAGGGACTCAACAGTTGTCCCCTCCGCAACTTCGTTGAACTGCGCACCACCAATTCATCTGAGTGAATAGTTTCTCCCACTGTAGTTGCCATCTTCTGTCGGGTGTAAAAATTAACTTCCCGTTTAAGGGGTCGTTTGTATTTATAAGAGTGGCTTATTACAAACTAATGATCAATATTTATGACCGAGGAGAAGGGGAATGGCCCTTCTTGTTTAACGTGGATTCGTTGATAGTGGTAGGACGCCTCCCTCATTGCTCGCGCCGAATTTGCTTCCCTTGGACGATCCAATCGAAGTTGCGATTGGAGCTTCAGTGCACAGTAGAGGCTCCGGAGTGATTGAGTTCGACTATACCCAAGCTTAAAAGTACCAAAGTCATAAGCTTAGAGAGAGCTATGATACAAGGGTTTGCAGAGAGCTGACGAGCCTCAAATCTGAGAGTTCAGATTGAGTCTACTTCAAAAATCCAAGCAAGGAGCTAGGGATGTTCTCCTAAGCCAAGCTAAATGAAGGCCTCTGTGATTGAAGAGCCTTAAGGAAAATACTAAGCGCCAGTGAACCTCGTGAACGTCCCTTCATGCTGACAAAGAGGTTCAATAAATAGGCACGAGATGGCATGAGCCATCCCTTGATTTGTGGGATATGACCACCAATGGGTGAGGAGCACCATGCCCTCCCCTAGCTATGGGGTGTAACTACCTAGGGGTGATGAGAGCCATGCCTCATCATCACCTAGGACGTTGGAAGTGGGTAGGCCTACTCCCTCAAGCAAACAGCTAGCTTGCATTGCTAGGGCAAGGCTGGCAAAGCTACGGGCAAGCTCGAGAGCTGTCTGAAAGCTCAGGCGAGCTTAGTGAACAGGCAGGGTTGGCTGGCGGGCCCCTCCAACATGTGAGCTGGTGTTCGTTAGCAAGCAAAGTTCATGTGGACAAACCCCCTACAGGCGTGCTTGGCTCATGCGGGCGAGCAAAGCATTCGGGTGGATTTTGTTCGTACAGGCAAACAAAGCAGACGGGTGAAGTTGAGCTCTGGGGCGAGCGCAATGATTAGGTGAGGTTGAGCTCTATGGGCAAGCTCAAGGATTAGGTGAGGTTGAGCTTGCGGGCGAGCTCAAGGATTAAGTGAGGTTGAGTTCTGCGAGCGAGCTCAGTGATTAGGCAAGGTTGAGCTCTGTGGGAGAGCTCAATGATACATGTGGTCGATGTTAAGCTCTACGAGCGAGCTCAATAAATAGGTGGGGTTGAATGCTACGGGTGAACTCAATAATTGGGCAAGATTGAGCTCTGCAGGCAAGCTCAATAAATAGGCGAGGTTGAGCTCTGTGAGCGAGCTCAATAAGGAGAGGTTGAGCTTTACGAGCAAGCTCTATTGGGCTATGTTGAATGCAAGTGAGCCCAAGCTTATTGGCAGGCGGGGCCAGTCAGGTGGGCTTTGACACCCAGGCAATTTTTATTGCCTACAGGGGACTCTAGGTCCTTCAGTCAGTATTATCATTAGTTAGAGCTTGAGGTATATAATATATTAGCTTTTAAGTTGTCAATTTGAGTATAATTTAAGTGTTATGGGTTACTGATATATTTGAATAAAACTAGCGAAGGGGAGATCTCGAATATTTTGCACATCATATTCTGACTTCTTGGAGCCTAAATTACACCGATGAAGAGAAGAAAGCGGAGAATAAGGATCTGGTTGTAAGTAGTAGTTCATTTGTATATTCAATTTCATAATAATGCATCATTAATAAATCGACTTGCCTGGGTTATTTTGATATATCATAGGAGAAATTATATGCCAAGGTACAGGAGCAAATATCTTAGTTCCAGGTTGGTTCTAGCACTCCGACCCAGCTAAGTAGAGAGGAGGAGGACTCCATCATCGAGATAATCATTGGACAGAGTTAAATATCATCACATAAATATCATCACATGCAATACATACTCTTCATATCCATGAGCCACATGCATAAAATCAACCGTCGCGTCATATCCAACTTTATTGTATACACAAAATACAACCAAGACCGCTAAAGAATATTGTCAATAAAAATAATCTGCTATACTTTCAAAATGTCTGGCTACACTTTCAAAATAACATGTTACACTTTTATTCACCTCAATGAATAACATCGCATACACAATACATTCACATCATGTCCATAAGCAACATGCACAGAACTTGTAATGTAGTGAATAAATACAATCATGAAGTACACTTCAAAAGTATACCATATTTGATGAAAGTCTAACTTCCATATCTTCACTGCAAACACAATAAAACATAATCCAATATTAATAGCATATCAAAGAATGTAAAACGAGCTAAGATTGAACCTTACTAACTTTGACTTCCTCTCAAATTATTTGAATTTGCGTCTATCAAACATCCAAAATGAATAATATGTAATCCATCACCATCATGAGTCTGATTCCATCTCATTACCCACCTTGTCGATAACCCCTTGCACTAGGAGCTTCATTGTCACCACCTCCAACTACAAATAAAATATTCAAATGGAAATTTCATCAAACAGATTCTAATCATGAAACTAAATCAAGCTAATCAAGCAAACAAGCAAATCAAAAAAAAAAACCCGAATGGGCATTTCACCAAACAAGTGACAAGTATGAAACTAAATCAAGCTAATCAACAAAGAAGCAAGCAAACAAACAAAACCTAGTTTGAGCATTTCATCAAGCACATAGCAGGCGTGAAACCAAACAAAGATAGTAACCTATTAAGCAAGCCAACAAATAATCTCAAATGAGCATTTCATCAAGCGCATAACGGGTATGAAACTAAATCGGGCTATAAAGCAATTAGTTTGTTACCAGAGTGATCGTGTCCTGAAAAACTATAGTAACCAGCTCTCCCTCATTTAGCAGCGCTAGTACTAAGATGGGTCTCACTTATTAGGATGCGAGTCGTGAGAGGGGAAGCCCATGGGTAAAGAGTCTGCAATAGAAGAGAAGTTTCAAGATGGCAGAGTGCAAATCTTGAAGGAGGAGGGTCTTGAGAGAGGTAGATAGATTGAGTGCTTAGAAATGGAGGAGGAGGAGGAGGTGGAGAGAGAACTGAAGCAAGGAGAAGAGGGGGAAGATGAAAAGGAGTAAGTTAACATAGAGGAGGAGGATTAAGGCAAGGGGTAATTTAGGGTTTATACTATATTTTTTTAGGTAAAATAGGGCAAGTTGCTTTATCATAATCTGTATATATAATGTATTAAAAACTAAAATATCTTACATAGATAGATATATACTTGTGATTTGTACGAAATCCTCATTTGTAGAGGAGCGGACCTATTCGTCACTCAACTAGAGGAATACTCATGAAATCACTCTTAGATACCCCAGGGATATATACAAAAGTAAGGATTATAAAGTAGCAATCACAGGTGTGTTAATTACAAAGATATTGTCCAAAAGATGAGGAAAGGTAGGCGGTGAGTCTGCTAGCTCATGCTGATTAATGGATCCCTACATCCCCGTTGTTGTCTTCACTAGATGTAATTAGATCAGAGAAGCCTCTCTCTCAGATGAGATTTTTTAGCTTGAGGGTCTTCTTCGATGAAGTTGCACTTGTCCAGGAAATCATATAGTGAGCGATTTTGGAGATTAGTTGTTGAGGGGTAAAGATTATGTGTAAGTGAATGAGGTTATTGTGAGCTCTCCATAGGACCCAACAGATGGTGGGAAAGCATAATCCCCATAGTTTCCACACTGAAGTCTCAACAGACTCATCGAAGCATATATCAAAACAATGCTTGGTGTGAAGAGGGAGGGAGGGATTGCTAATTCTAGGAATAAGAAATGCCCAAACTTGTTTGGGGAATTGGCAGGAGAGAAAAAGGTGGTCGTGTGATTCTTGATCACTGCAAAAGGAATGGTATGGGTCTCCTACCCAAACTTTATTAAGAAGCATGTCCTTGGTCTTTAATTTAGCCATCGAGAGTAGCCAAAGGAAAAACCTAACTCTGCTAGGAAGTAAGGTATTCTAGATAACAGAGCAATGAGGATGATGAACACCTCCATCGGATAGGAAGGAGTATAGAGATTTAACTGTAAAGATCCCAAAGTTATTGAGGGGCCAATAAACCATATCAATGTTGAGAGAAGGATAAAGGTTACTTGATGTTAACAGGTGATTAAGAGCTTGAACTTGCAATCTTTCACTTTCCTTGTAATGACTATAAAATTTTAATACTAATTAAAATAATTTTTAGTATTTTAAATATTTAATTATTATTTTTAAAAGAGTATTTGTATTTTTGTTGATTTTCTATAATTTTCTATGATTTAAAGTCCAAATTTTATATTATTTAAATAGTTTTAATATTTATAAATTTATTTCGTGCAGTATAAAAATTTTTTAATTAATTTGTTATGTTATCAGTGCAATTACATATTATTTTAAATAATATTTTGTATTATTAATATTATTATGTATTATTTCATATAATACATGGTATTATTAATTATGTATTTTTGGTATAAATCGTTGTATTATTCTTACTATTACATATTATCTGTCGTATTAGTATAACTGGTACGTTTTACTGTGTATATAATTATCCCATAATTATTTGGTTTTAAATGTAAGTAAATATATTTTTATTATTAATTATTCTCGTTTAATTGTATAATATGGGTATATTTTAACTGTTTCATATCAACTGTTGTAATAGCACAATATGTACGTTTTTATTTGTAGGTAATTATTCTGTAATTAGTTTAATTTTTAAGTACCCAAAATTATTTATTATATTTATTTCCTAATTATTCTGTAATTAGTTTAATTTTTAAGTACCCAAAATTATTTATTATATTTATTTCCGTTTCATATCAACTGTTGTAATAGCACAATATGTACGTTTTTATTTGTAGGTAATTATTCTGTAATTAGTTTAATTTTTAAGTACCCAAAATTATTTATTATATTTATTTCC